GCCAGTAGTGCTTGGAGTGAAGTGTTTCAAGCTCTAAAAGAAAACAACTTTCAATCCAGACTGATATATCCTGAAAAACTATCTTTCAAAATTGATGGAGAAATAAGGACATTCCATGACAAAGATCACTGTAAGAAATTCATAACCACCCAACCAGTATTCCAAAAAATCTCAAGGTGTTGTAGACAGAGAAAATGAAGCCAACAAAATCAAAAAGTCTGATGGAATGAATATATCAGGCAGGGGGAGCACTTAAATAAAAAGGAGAAAATAAAGGAGTCAACAAGAGAAAAATAATATAATGAAAGGAATAAGCCAATACCTTTTAGTAATAACTCAGTGTAAATGGCCTCAACTCCCTAATTAAAGAACACAGATTAGCAGACTGGATCAAAACACAGAACTCAATGCTTGGCTGCATAAAAGAGGCTCATCTAAACCAAAAAGAAATTCATAAACTAAAAATAGAAAACAACATTCTATGCACCAGGACCTCAAAAACAAGGAGAGGTAGCAATCTTATTTTCAGACAAAGTGGACTAAAAGCTAAAACATCAGAAGAGGCAAAGAAGGTCACTACATATTACCTAAGGGAACAATTAAAAAAGAGATAACAATTGTAAATACATATGCACTGAATACTGATGTACCCAACTTCATAAAACAACACTACTGGACATAAAACATAAAAAACCCCGCACCAACACAAGCATAGTGGGGGACCTTAACACCCCATTATTACAAACAGATCAACTAAACAAAGACTTAACAAAGAAATATCAGAGCTGAACCACACCTGTAAGTAAATGGATTTAATAGATACCTATAGTGTTCTACCCTATTACAACAGAATATACACCTCAACAGCATAAAGAACTTTCTCTAAAATAGACTACATTATAGCCCATACAGCCTCCTTTAAATAAATATGAAAGAATCAAAATTATTCCATGTATAATATCAAATAATAGTGCACTGAAATTAGAAATCAATTGCAAAGGAAGCCACAGAAATTTTTTTTTTTTTTGGTACCGAAGATCGAACTCTGGTCCTTGTGCTTGTGCAGCAGGCAGCAAAACCACTGAGCTAAATCCCTGGCCCTGCCACAAATTTTTACAAACACCTGGATATTAAATAACACATTCCTGAACTTTCACGGGTCACAGAAGAAATCAAGGAAGAAATTAATTACTAGAATCAAACAATAATGTCAGTACAACGTATACCAGAACCTAAGGAACACAATGAAATCAGCTGTAGGAGGAATTTTATTTGTGTGAATGCTCACATTAAAAAATCTAAGCTGAAAAAATAATCTAATCATAGAGCTCAAGGTCCTAGAAAAACAAGAATAGTTCAAACCCAAACTTATTACAATGAAGGAATTCATAAAGATCAGAGTGAAAAATAATGAAATTGAGACTAAAACACAATACAAAGAATCAATGACTCAGAATCAATGAATCAAAGAGTTTGTTCATTGAAAGAATAAACTAAACAGACAACCTCTTAGCCAAACTTATCAAAAAAGGGAAAGAAAAGACCCAAAATAATGCAATTAGAATGAAAAAGGTGCTGGGGATTTAGCTCAGTGGTTCCGCCGCCTGCCTCACAAGTGCAAAGACCTGAGTTCGATCCCCGGTACCAAACAAAAAAAAAAACAAAAAACAAATGAAAAAGGTGAAATCACATCAGACACTGATGAAATCTAGATTATTAGTAACTGCTATGAAAAACTGTACATCAACAAATTGGAGAATCTAGAAGAAATGGATAGATTCCTAGACTCCTATGAATTACCAGAACTGAAACACAGAGATATAAAAACCCTGAGTAATCCAAAAATAGGCAATAAAATTGAGGCAATTATAAAAAACATACCAACTAAGAAAAACACAGGACCTGATGGATTCACAGCTGAATTCTAGAAGAACTTCAGGGAGGATATAATGCCAATACTCCTCAAACCCTTTAAAGAAACTGAAAGGAAAGAATTACTTCCAAACTCATTCCTGGAAGCTATATTACCCTATTTACAAAACTAGATTAGAACCTAACTAAAAAAGAAAACTATAGGCCAATCTTTTTAATGTACTTCCAGATGCTAAAATCTTCAAGAAGACACTGGCAAAAACAATGCAACAAATCAGAAAGATCATACAACATGGAAAGGTAGGCTCTATCCCAAGGATGCAAGGATGGTTCAACATATGCAAATCAATAAATGTAATATATCACATAAATAGAAACAAGGACAGAAATCACATGATTATCTCACTTGACACAGAAAAAGCCTTTAACAAAAATCTAACATCAATTCATGATAAAAACCTTGAAGAAGGGGTCAGGGATTTAGCTCAGTGGTGCCACTGCCCGCCTCACAAGCACAAGGTCTGGAGTTCGATCCCTGGTACCAAAAAACCCCAAACAAAACAAAACAAACAAACCTTGAAGAAAATAGATATAGAAGGACTTTACCTCCTCTGATAAAAGCCATTTATGATAAACCTTCAGTTAATATCATATTAAAAGGGGAAAAGCTGAAAGACTGACCTCTAAAATCAGGAACAAGTCATAGATTTCCATGATCACAACTCCTGTTTCATACAGTACTCAAAATATTAGCCAGTGGAATCAGGCAAAAGAAAAAGCAAAATCAACACACAAAAATCAAAGCATTCCTGTACACCAATAAAAAAATCCAGAGAATCAAATTAGGAAAACAATACTATTCACAATAGCTTCAAGAAAAATGAAATTCTTAGGAATTAGCCTAATCAAGAAATGGAAGATCTCTGTAATGAAAACTACAGTACTCTGAAAAAGGAGACTGAAAAGGACATCAGAAAATGGAAAGATATCCGGTTCCCAATATTGTCAATATGGACATATTATGAAAACTGATATAGATTTAATGCAATCCTAAATGCCAACAGTATTCTCTTCACAGAACTAGGAAAAAACTAAGATTTACATGAAATCAGAAGAGACCTAGAACAGCAAAAGCAATCCTTGGCAAGAAAAACAAGGCAGGAGGCATAACAGTCCCAGATTTCAAGTTATACTACAAAGCTACAGTGATAAAAACAGCATGGTACTGGCACAAAAACAGATATGCAGATCAATGGAACAGAACAGAAGATGAAGAAACAACCCCAGGTATGTTAAAAGTCATCTGATCATTGACAAAGGAGTCAAAAATATATGCTGGAGAAAACATAGCCTCTTTAAGAAATGGTGATGGGAAAACTAGTTATACACATCTACAAGATTGAATTTAGACCCATATCTATCATTTTACACCAAAGTAAAATCAAAATGTGTGAAACGTAGTTGTTAAAATAGAAACAATTTTAGATACAATAGCTAAACACTTGAAGGCACAGGCACAGGAAAGGACTTTCTAAACTGAATCCCAATTGTAGAAGAAACAGTATCAGAACAAACAAATGGCATTATATCAAATAAAAACGGTTTTGCTTAGCAAAGAAAACAATATACAGTGAAAGAGACAACCTATAATATGGGAAAAATGTTTTGCTAGCTACTCTTTTGACAGAGGACTAATATTTAGAATTTAAAAAGAACTAAAAAAAAAAATCAGACCCTTCAAATTAAAAGAGCCAATCAAAATATGGCAACTAAAATGCATAGACACTTCTCAGAAGTACAAGTGGCCAATAAGTAAATGAAAAAATGTTCAACACCTGCGGCCACCAGAGAAATGAAAATTAAAACACTGAGATTCCATCTTATTTCAGAATGAGTGGGTGACATCAAGAAAAGAAACAATAACAAATGCTGGCAAGACTATAGAGAAAAAGGAAGCCTTCTACATCATTAGTGGGAATGTAAACTGGTACAAGCACTATAGAAATCAGTTTGGAGATTCCTCAAAAAAACTAAAATAGAAGTTCCATTCAATTTCATTATTTCCTTTCTAGTATAGTAATACATGCATACCCATATTTATAGCAGCACAACTTATAATAACTAAATCTTGGAAGTGGCCTATATATCCATCAATAGATGAATGGATAAAGAAAATGTGGTGGTAATTATACCAAAGGAACTACTATTCTGCCATAAAGAAGAAAAAGTTGGAGGCATATGTACGAAAAAGGATGCAACTTAAGACTATAATGTTAACTGAAATAAAAGAGACATTCAGGCTTAAATATTCATAACTTCACTTACATGAGAAAACTAAGTATAACTAATTTCAAAAAACAAAATGAAAGATATTAAGAAACAAGGGGGGCCGGGGATTTAGCTCAGTGGTTTCGCCACCTGCTGCACAAGCAAAAGGACCCGAGTTCGATCCCCAGTACCAAAAAAAGCAAAAAACAACAGAAACAAGGAGGTAGATCATTTGCAAATGGGCAATACAAACAATCTAGAGATGGGGAGCAGGGAGAGGGGAGGCAAAAGGGAAAAAAATGGAAGTAAGATATGTTGAGAACATGTACCTCCTCCTGAGATGAATATAACCATTATGTACTACAACATGTACTAACAAATAAAAAGATTTATATGACTAGGAAAATGTCTTATATACAGTATAAGGCTTTATATAATTTATATAATCAAAGGTAAGTATTTTCTATTTGGAAAAGGGTTTCACAGTAATAAAATCCTAGGAGACAAGTAGTCAAATACTGTATCTTCTGCTCTCTGAGTTTTGTATATACTCACATGTAATAATGAATATTCATTGGCTGACAGCTGTTTATACTCCTTTTACAAGATTCTAAATAGCCAAAGTTTTCTTGTAGTACTGAGCAAGTCTTGTTGGGAAGCAAAGTCCTCTTTACCACTGACTATACTTCAACAGTCATACAACTATAAAAAGACTTCAAATCATTAACTATATGGTAAAGCCACTGAATTACATTACATCAACAATAAACAGGCCCATACTCATGAGATACTGCTTTGTTGGTGAATGTCATGCAATGGAATAATGTAATATGGATATTATGACACAGAAGCCTACATACTGGATGTCTTCTGATATAGTCATCCACTTGTTGCTTCAGTTGAACTCTGTGTGTATCAGTGAGTTCTTGGAGTCCTTGCCAAGGGGCAGATAGTTTCTTTTTCTTATGGCACTTTGCTAGGAATTTAAGAACCTGGGGGGAAAAAAAGAAGGTTTGTGACTGCTCTCCCGCTCTCCCCTATTATAGCTATTATCTCTCTAAAACATACAGCAGTGACACCATGGCAACAGTGGTTAATTCTGAGTGTGTATGAGGAGGGGGATACATGGGATTGTGATGGAGTAAGAAAGGACAGTGACTTTTTAACTATACAGATGCTCCTCAGTTTATGAAGTGGTTAGGTCCTAATTAAGTTGAAAATGCATTTATTATATCTAACTTACCTATTTTATACATTTTACCATCCACTGAATGCCTATCACTTTAGCACCAGTAACACAGGACCATCTGGGTAATTCTCTCTAGTGCTTTCACTTTTTTAAGATTGTTATGGTATGAATTGTAAATGTTCCTCAAAGGCTCAGGTATTAAAGGTTTTGTTCCCAGCTGATGGCGCTCCTGAGAGGTGGTGGAACTTAAGAGATGGGACCTCATGGAAGGAAGTTAGGTCACTACAGGTACGTCCTTGCCCCTTATTCCTCCCTGCTTTCTATAGGATTGGAGGTGAGCAGCTTTGCCATTGATGCTTTGCCGTGCCACAGGCACAAAGCAACACAGACAGCCAAGTGGCCCTGGAATGGAACCTCAGAAACTTCAGCCAAAGTAAATCTTTTCTCCTTATAAGTTGATGATTTTAGGTATTTCTGTCACAACAATGGAAATCTGACCACAAGGATACATTCATGTATTCTTTCTGCAGTAAGCAATAAAGATGAATAAAGGAATTAAGCGTTTGGTTCCAGTCTCAATTCTAGTTTCTTATAAACTGTATGATTCTGGATAAGTTACTTGATCTCTATAGAACTAATTCTATGTTTATAGAAATCTGGGACCCTAGTTCTACATGACCAACAGAATTATAAACAACATAGAGTGTCTAAAAATAAAAACCTTGGTAAATGAGAAAATATTATAAAATAAGGTATAAGGCAGCTAACAATTTCTGAATGTTCTTATGTTCTTCAGAATGGACTTCCGGTAAAATAAAAAAAATCTTGTAACAGGAATGATTTGGGACATATTTGAAATTACTCTTCCCATTTTTTCAATCCTTTCCTGTCTTTGCAGATTTTATTTTCACCAAAGTTACACGTTCACACTGTTTAAAGCAGTGGTTAAAAAAAAATAAAGCAGTGGTTGACAAATCATGGCCCCTAAGCCACATCCAGTCTGCTGTCAGTTTTTCTATGGTCTGAGAGCTAAAAATGATTTTTTTTTTTACATTTCACATGGTTAAAAATAAAGAAAGAATATTTTGTGACATGAATCAATATGAAATTCATATTCAATGTCTGCAAATAAGGTTTTATTAGAATATGGTTATGCTCATTTGTTCACTAGTATTTATGGGCTGCTTTTGTGCTCCAAGTGTTGAGCAGCTATGACAGACTACATGGTCTGGAAAGCCTCAAATATTTTATACCTGGCCCTTTCCACAAAAAGCTTGCTGGTGTAACTCTGCTGTTTAAAGTGTCTGTTTTACAAGAGTTAGTCCCAAAATAACTATAGTTCTCTACCCAGTTAACACTGTTCCCAACCCCACAGATAACAACTTCAACTTTTTCAGGTTTCTCTTTTGATATTTAGCTTCACCTATTTTCTACAATTTTCAAATATATGCATTATGTATTGATTTTCTTGAATGGGAAAAAGGATTGGATATCTCAGCAGGTCCCTTTACAAAGTATTGGGCTCATCTTAGTTAACTTCATAAGGGCCCACCTAATTCTCTGACAGAAAAAACTTTGAAAAGGTAGATATCTGGGTGTTGTGGTGCATGCCTGTAATCCTAGCACTCGGGAAGCTGATGCAGGAGGATTGGTGTGAGTTCGAAGACAGCCTGGGCTACACAGTGAGTTCAAGGCTAGCCTGAACAACACAGTGAGATCTTATCTCAAAAAATAAAACAAAACAAACAAACAAAAAAGAGGTAGCTATGAAGTTAAAGTATTAGAAAGGAGGCAAAGGTTCCTCTACAGAAAGGAAAGGTCTCCAACCTTGATATCCTGAGCCTTAGATAGCCTTGTTTAGCAGAGGGTAAATATAGAGAGTATGTGTGATTCTGTGATGGTGCAGGACTGTTTTTTGCATATATAAACTGAGATCCCCAGATGGGACTGAAGGAGAAAGAGCCAGATATCTCTTCTGATTTCCCTAGTATTTATTTATTCTACTATATTTTTAGATGATTTTATAATATCTTTGTAAACTGTTAATCCACAGAAAATATTCAAAATCTATTATGGTGAAAAACTTGAAAACTGACCAAAAGTTCAAAGATAATAGATTGTTACGCTAAATGCTTTAAGAGCTGAAACATGTTATATTATACTCTCTTATAGCCATTGTAATAGAATAACTGGACATTAGAAAAACTGGTCATTAACTCCAAAAAAAGAACCCCATGCTATGCTTCACCAAGTCAATAAAATATTACTCTGCTACTCTGCTCACTTAAGAACAGTATTCTACACTTTAAGAGTTACAATTATCTAATTATATCAAATACTTAAATTTTCAAATATGTTATGCTGCACTTACACAGTATATTACAATATACAAAAACCATTCCTACAAATTAGGATATCTGACCCACACAACTGAGTAAAAAGGTAGGACATAGCTCCACTCATACATCAAGCACACACTGAGCTGATGACAACATTAAATAATACATAGCTTCTTATCTTTGAGGAAATAACAGCCCAAATAATAGAGGAAAAAAATTAACCAAAACAATATTGCAGTATGATAAATGACGTGGTAAAGGTTCCATAGTAGTACTAAGGACTGGGTGTCTAAATCAGCTTTATTTTATAAAGGAAGAAACTAAGGCTTAGGACATCTAAGTAATGTGACCACATTTTTTAGCAGGTAAATAGCAAAGTCAGATCTGAACACACTTTGGCTCCTTAGCTAGAGGTGTTTTTGCTGTATTAGACTCACTGCTCTTTGAAGTATGACCGCTGCTTTATACTCTGTGAGAGATGGCCTCTGTTGGTGGAACTTTTTCCTTTCCCTGTACCCTCTCCAATGCTTCTGGATAATTAATGCTGATTTCTCTTCCAACTCCTGATTGTATTTCTCCACTTGACCTAAAAAGATGACAGACACTATTACAACATACTCACTGCTATGTTTTGTTAAGTTCTAGAATCAGGACAATGGTAATAACAATCTTACAGTCTTTTTATTTTTTTTTAATACTGCTCACTTATTTCCCCAATCTTTTTTTTTTTTGATTTCCCCAATCTTATTATTTTATAGTTCTAAGATTTTAAAAAAGTAAAGCTTTTCCCGATTATGCAAATTTCTTTAGAGAAAAGAGTCATAAAAATATCTTTGTGGTAGGGTGGTGAGAAAAAGACTGAAAATTCAATAGTAAGAACAATTTTGGGGAAAAAAATCATTAGTATATGGATAAGAAATCATTTGATACTACCAGAGGGAAAGGGCAACGTGTGCTTCCAAATTTCTCTTTAGTTGATTACATATATGACTTTCTTTTTACTTTCTGAGAGTTGGCTCTTATATAGCTCAGGGTTCACAGTTGCTAAAGAAGGTAGTACCAGTGGACTTTAAAACAGGGGTGTATGCTGGGTGTGGTGGCACACGCCTGTAATCCCAGCACTCGGGAGGCTGAGGCAGGAGGATCGCTGCAAGTTTGAGGCCAGCCTAGGCTGCATAGTGAGTTCATGGCCAGCCTGAACTACAAAGGGAAATCCTGACTCAAAAAAAACAAAACAACCCCCCCCCAAAAAAAACAGGGGTGTATTTGAGAGAGTATAAAAAGCTGATAGATGGAGGTGAAAGAAAGAACTTTAGGCACCATTGCCTAAAATGGGAAATAAAAAGAGAAAATCTGGGAGAAAGATGACTTTAATTTTTAGAATGCCTTTGGATATTTAAATAAAACTATTCAACAGGCAGCTGGTTACAGTGCTGTCTAATAGAGTGGGCAATAACTACCAGTTAACTACTTGCCTAGGATCTGACACCTATTTCTTTCTTTCTTTTTTTTTTTTTGGTACCGGGGATCAAACTCAGGTCCTTGCACTTGCAGGGCAGGTGGCAGAACCACTGAGCTAAATCCCCGGCCCACCTATTTCTAAATGTAAATTTTTATATTTCACTAATTTACCTGAAAGAGAAGAAAAGAAAATCTGATGGGGAAATTGCTCATCATCAACTAACAGGTCTGAATTGGAAAAAATTGAAACTTGTTTTCTGACTCAAGAGATTTAATAAAGTTTATCTGGAGAGATAGAAAGAGAGACAGAGAGAGACAAGGCAAAGGTCCAAATATAAAAAAAGAAATCATCAAATAGCTAGAAAATTTGGTTTATTTATTTATATTCTTATATTTGTAAGGCTGATACTGCACTCACCTGGGTGAACTATTTCAAGCATACTAAGCCGTAATTCTCGAGAAAGTCTCATCGCTCTCTGCCTTTCAATTTGCAATTGTAATCTGAGATCGTTTTCTTCCTTCTGCCTAGTTAGCTTCAGCAATATCTTTGTTCTTTTAGATCTGTGATGGAAACAGTAAGTTCAAGCAGTTACACATAATTTCACAAATCATACATCCATTCAAGAAATGTAGGAGGAGCTGGGGATTTAGCTCAGTGGTTCTGGTGCTTGCCTTGCAAGTGCAAGGTCCCAAGTTCGATCCCTGGTACCAAAAGAAAAAAAAAAAAAAAGAAATGTAGGAAATGCTTATCTTAAAAGCAATCAAATACAGACAGAAAAAGTTTTTTAAAGATAATTCCTGGTGTTGCTGGGGTATAATGAAATACATATCATGTACTTCAGGTGTAGAACTTTTCTAGGAAAATATTGGAAATATCCATCAAAACTCTGGAAAAATAGTTTAAATTTTCTTAAGGAAATAATGAAATATATATACAAAAACTTATGTTCAAGGATGTTCTCAACATAGTATTACAACAGTAACAAGCTGAAAACAAACTACCTGTTCCATGATAGGGAGTTAGATAAATACTAATTCATTATCTGGTGCAATTCTATGAACTATGATTAAATAAATTTTCAAAGAATACTTAGTGACATGTAATGGACTGTCAGGTGAAAAAAATCAAGAATGAGATTCAAACTGTGTTAAAAATTTGTATATACTTACATAGAAAAATAAATGATTAAAAAATTAAAATTTCAGTAGTCACTATGTGGTATGATTATGGCTCATTTTTTATCTTCTTAGGTTTATCTATTTCTCAACAGTGACTAATAATAAACATTATTTTATAACTAGTTAAAAATTTTTCATGACCACATTTTATTTAATTCTTATTTTTATAGTTTCTGCTTTTACTTACTAAATTTTTTCAGCCATTCCAACTCAATTTTTGTTGCTTTTCATAAATACTAGTCTACAGTAGATGTATCAAAACACTTTCAGACTCCCATAGGAATGGAAAACCAGGAGGATAACAGAAGCAGATTACAATATTTATTTTACTTTGACAGAATTGCTTTTTTCTTTCTTGGTGGTGCTGGGGATCAAACCCAGGGCCTGTGCATCCTAGGCAAGTGCTTTACTGCTGAATTGAACTACATTCCCAGCCTCCATAGAATTAATTTACATGTGTCTCCTTCAAAAGCATATTTCTTCTTGGATCCTTTTCCTAGAATTAAATTGCCAATAACTGTGGTAGCTTGGCTAGGCCCCATAATGTTGTAGTTAGAGAGGGTTTTCTTTTGAAAATACAAACATATTTTATACTTATAACAATTATAATTTTAAAAAGAAATCTTTTTATGGTAGTACATGCCTATAATCCTGCACTCGGTAAACTGTGGCAGGAGGATAGCCAAAAGTTTGAGGCCATCCTGGGCTGCATAGTGAGTTCAAGGCCAGCCTGAACTACATAGTGAGACTCTGTCTCAAAACAAAAAAATAAAAGAAATAAAAAACACCATTTCCAACTTTTAATAGGTTACAGATTATGTTTATATTGCATTATCAGTATTTTACATATATACTATTAGCATAGGAAATGTGGTACTCATGAAAGCTGCAATGCTAGGATATTAAATCAGACAGAAGACTAAGTTTCAGAAATAGAAAAAAAAAGAAAAAAACATGCAGCATGAAAATGGAAGTAAAATACAAACCAGGAAAACAAAAGAAAAGAGGAGTTTCATGATTAAAATAACACCTGTAAATTGTGATTCATGGATTCATATACTTTAGTTTCATGCTTGAAAACAATTATTAGGAAATGAGGTACTTTTAAGTGTTATTCCCTCCATTTAATTACACTGTAGTTATTTTGCTAAGTAAGAGTTTCTATAATCACTCAAAAATTAAAAGGTTATTTTCCATCTGATTTCTCTATAAGATCTAGTAGCTATCTGACCATATGGCATGTATTATTATAGTTCTAAAAAGGAAGTATTATAGGGAGCTAAGTTAGATAAAAATTAATATACAGTCAGAGAGGGACTGGGCTCTCAAGGAAGTCAGTGGAAAAATACAGACATCAGAATTGTGATTGGAGGCACATTTGAAAGTCAGGCCTCAAAAGAAAGATGCAATGGTCAAGCCTACATGCCTCCCTGAGGGATAAGGAGAAACTGGGAATACTGTAATTAGCATTACCTGGTCCAGGAAGTCCAGACAGGCATCAGATATCCAGGTGGTTTACCAGAGCATCAGGATATATCCCTTCCCCAAATGCCTTTGTTCTTTCCATGTACCCTTGCTACATGACTTGTTTCCCTATTGGACCAATATCAGCTAAGCAGCTATACTTGTAATCCTATAGGTTGATTGTAGTTTGACCCACATTGAGACACTTTGTGACTCTGCTGTATATTATTACCCTTGACAAAGGGCCTCAGTGACAACCCACTTCCAGGACCCCTCCTGTCTCTCAAGAACTATCTCTCAATAAGGCTTTCCTATTCTAAACCTCCATTGTTACTTGGAATTCAATCTTTGATTTTGGGGGACACGAACTCAGCACATCTGACATCTAGCAGGTTGGGAGTTATATTTCTTCTATATCAGAAGAAACTGATCAGATATTAAATCAATAAATACTCATCTGAATGATTGCTGTCTGCTCAGTACTGTGCCTCAGGCAGACAAATACTGAACTCTAAGAGTTTAGTTTTCAGGAGAAATCAAACAAATTTAACTAAAATATCTAAATATCAGCGTAATGCTAAAGGTAGGTAAATTATGAGGTTTTTTCCAAGATAAATGGAGTTACTGTTAGCTGTTTTAGAAATGCTTGCTGAGGAAATGCTTAATAAAATAGTTTCTGTGAGAAATGACTAAAAATTAAAAACCTCCTAGAAAGTGCATCAGCAAGGGTTTGACTATAAATGAGTACCTCTTGCTGAATCTAAAGAACACTGATCAATCTGACCACCTAAGTGCGTTCAGCAGCTAGTCTCTCTCCTCTAAGAAAGCATGGAAGGGGAAATTACTCAGGTAATGACCCGTAAGACCACAAAAAGGTAGAAAACCCAACTACAAAGGACATGAGAGGAATTTGCACAAACTTTTAACAACTAATAGAAGATGAAAGGTAGTAAAGTCTAGAGCAAACTTGCCGTTAAAACACTAAATACAGGGCCAGGGATTTAGCTCAGTGGTTTCACTGCCTGCTGAGCAAGTACAAGGACCTGAGTTTGATTCCCAGTACCAAAAAAAAAAAAAAAAGAAAACACTAAATACAGCCCAACAGTTAAAACTGTACTTCAGTGTACTCCAGAACCCTAAACTCAAAATACTGGATGGGAAACAAACACATAATGGAAAATAAATCATTGTGAATTTATAGCTTATCTTTTAAAATGGAAATACTAATAACCAGTCTGGTTTTGTTATAGGAAGAAAGCAACGGAACTCCTATTTTAAAATAGTGGAATATTCATTAGAATTCTACAGATATACTTCTAAGTGGGTAAAAGTTGTAATTTTGGGATACCGGTGCATTCTCTCTGTCTGTGTGTGTGTGTCTGTGCACGCGTGCACACACCCACCCACCCACACACACACACACACACGCTCAGGAGACAAAATACCAAATAACCAAAGTTAAAGGAGGAAAGATTTACTTAGCTCATAGTTTTTAGAAGTTTTAGTTATAGTTGAACTGGCTCAAAGACAGGGTGGCATGGGAGAGGGGGATTGCAAAGGAGAAATAATCCAAGCAAGCAGGCAGACTAGAGCAAGGAGCAAGTCCAAGAGACCATACAGATTCTTTCTGCCTCTTTTATATTCTTTCTAGGCTATCCAGCTTAGGGCAGGTGCCAAACCAACTAGTGGACTGATTTAGTAATCACACAGCCTTAATCCCAGTACCCTTAATCCTAGCATTGCACTGTGAATCAATCTCAGGGTCACACACTCTAGATCCAGCCACCTCTGAAGGCCCCACCTATGAGCCCCGCATGAGGCTTTGTGGGGGAAATTTATTCTTTTTGTTTTGTTTTGTTTTTTGGTACTGGGGATCGAACTCGGGTCCTTGTGCTTTCGAGGCAGGCAGTGGAACCACTGAGCTAAATCCCTGGCCCAAAAATCATTTGTATTCATTTTTTTTTTTTTGAGGGGGGTGGAAATTTAGACAAGCTGTTACAGGCCTCATGGTAAAAATGCATTGTGTCACTGACTATATCCCTATACTTTCAAACCCCTGGATTACTTTTAAAATTATTATTGTTTTTGTTGTTGTTGTTGTTATTTTGGATCCAGCATCTCCGTATGTAGTTTAGGCTGGTTTTGAACTTACTATGTAGTACAGGCTGGCCTTGAACTCACAATGATCCTCCTGCCCCTGTCTCCCAAGTGCTGGGTTTACAGGCATGTACCACCATGCCTGGCTCTGAGATACTTTTTTTTTTTTTGGTACCTGGGATCAAACTTGGGACCTTGCGCTTTCGAGGTAAGCAGTGGAACCACTGAGCTAAATCCCAGGCCCATCTGGGATACTTTTAAATCAAAAAAGAAAGTAAATAAATTTGGCAACTACTTTGGGACTAAACATTAAAGGTCTGAATCCATGGTGTAAGGGCACCTTGGAATGTAAGAGGACAGACAGCTGAGGATGATAGCAGGCAGAATCATGAGCGGGCAATACCAAGAGCACCTCAGACTCTTTTGAATAAAAGAATATACACTGTGGTTCTCAAATTATTCAGTATTTCTTTATTTGACCACAGAAATGCTTTTAAACATTTCTGAGAAACAGTTTGTAAGATAGGTGATAAATTTCAAGCAACACCAGATGTATATTTGCCTCTTATGAGTACTATTTATTTAGTGCCTCTATTTGTCTAGATTTATATATACTTAAGGCAGAAAATGTGCCATATGCACTTTCTTCTTAACACTAAGTTCTAGGTGATATGCTAAAACACTCTATTATCTTAAACATATTGTCTCAATCTTGTAAGGTGTGTAACCTACTGTCTCCATTTTAAAGTTGAGGCTGAATGAGGCAGGGCAACTTGTTCAAGGTCACTTAGCCAATAAGCTGCTAAAGTGGGACACAAATGCAAGTCTCTTAAATTCTCCCCACACCTCCCCTCCCCCTCTTACTCATCCTTTGGGATTTACTAACCATTTGATGGGTATTTTAAAAAGTACACCAACAATATTCATGCCAAATAATATTTATAAGCTATCTTTCAATCTTCCCTGAAGAAAACTTTCATCAACAAATAGGACATCCACTAAGGCACGTGGCCAGAATGACTTCAGTGTCTTCAAGTCTGTGACAATTTAGTATTTTGAACCCCAGAGCTATTTTTAAAGTGTTTTTATAACTGAGAAATGCAGCTGCAGGTACTATAAAAGTAGTTTCAGTTTTCTTTAAAATAGGTTTATTTCTATGATATACCAGTTTCATTTTAGTGAACTAAAACTTAACTACATGAAAAAACCACTTCTGAGATGGCTCTACTTTATCATAAATGATCTAGGAGTTAAGTCAGTATTTCTTTCATTCATTCAATCTTTCTGCAACCTTTAAGAATTTGGATGAGTTACTCATAATCAGAAAGTGGGCAAATGGTAACCACAGGAATTTCTTTTGACTCTCTTGGCAGCCAGGTCTCCTTTAAGCCTGTGGTGAGAGGAGGGATTGCCTTACTTAGGTCATTATGAATTGTCCAGCTGTTTCAAAGGGAGACTAAAGTGCTGCCCTCAGTACCTAGACAGCTGGTTGGCATTTGAGATTCCCCTCTGCTTCCTAGGTCAGAGGACAGAGATTTTCATCTTAAACTACAATGATAAGTCTAGTAGCTGCTATCCCACTGGGTTCCACCAGGTAGAGCTTAAAGGACTTAACATTTGAGTACTTCTTTCCACATTGTATTTTATTACAACTTGAATGTTTTAATAATGTTGAATTTTGGACATTCTTCAAAAATGCTGACTATGTAAAAAAACAAGAAAACAGTAATTAAAAAAAATAGGCCATAACTTCAGTATTTCATTTTCAGTCCTCTTGAAATAAATGACAGACTATCATATTTCAAGGTCCATATCAATCCATACTCCATGTACTCAGGAAAATCAGGTTAACATATTTAACCTTAATATATTTGTACATTTTTAATAATAATTATATATGGACGTTTACACAAATTGTTGATTCTGAGTGTTTGACAATATAAAAATCATTGGCTTTGTCTATAGATTTGGCCAACAAACAAATCTTAAAAAGTAGACTGGTATACTGGACACATCAAATTCTTGCCTTATATTTTTCCCTACTTAGTGGAGTGTTGGAACTCTGTAACATATGGAACAGAATAAGTGCAAGAAAAAAAGAAACATTAGGAAATTGAAAAGCAAAAGGAAAAAAAGCAACAAAAACTCAAGTTTTCAACTGTACTTTAGTAAGACTGTCAGATCAGTATTCCTAGCACAAAATGTTTTTACCTGAAACTCCTCTGCAAAGCAATCACAGCAGATGGAAGCTTCTTAAATCTTTTTCTAGTCTGGAAGCCCTTCCAATAAGCTTGAATCAAGCAAGCTGCTTGATGTAGTTTCTGAAATAATTCAACAGAAATAATTTAGAAGAATCTCTAGAAAAGCCTTTTTAAAAAAGTTTACCTATTAAAATATCAGACTAGGGCAACTATCAGTCAAATCTCCACCTCTAACAAGATGGGTATGGAAGCAACATTAAGTTAGTTCATAGGCTTAGGACAGGGAAGGCCTAAGAATACCACACCTCATCACCCAAGAGAGGTTTGTTATGTTCAGTTAGACAACATCTAGAATATTCAAAATATCATCGGATCAGCTCCAAATTCTGTCTAACCTTACTTCCTTTTCAATGACTGAATAGCTCTGCCTATTCTGTTGTAGTTTATTTTGAGTTAACTTTTTAATGTATTTATTTAATAGCCTATCATCCTGCTTAGGTTCAGAACCTAAGCTCTGATGACCTTTTGTGGGTGGTTGTTCAAATCTGTGTAGTCCTCTATGTTTCTGGAATGCTGTTTTGTGTCTGTCCAGCACTTGCACAGTTTAGATATTAGTCTAAGAACTGTAAAGCCTCATAATAGAAGAAGAGAATTCTCTTCCTCCGCTTTCTTCTTTCAGGTTGCCCTGTCATTCTTCTGCCTAACTAGGTTTCTTTTCATGGATTCAACTTATATTTTAAAATGTATTATCTTTTTGGTTTGGGATTTTAGATAAGTATCTTTTATTATTTTAGATTTAAATCTGTTTTCCATATTTAAGTGTGATAAAATAGTACCTTGCTGACTCAAACTTCTAATTTTTATTAATATAGTTTCTTACACAGAGGGAATCAGCACTATTGTGACAAAGCATAGGTGGCCATAAACAGTTTTCTATAATCAGACATTTTAAAAAAATATCTTTTTTAGGGCCGGGGATTTAGCTCAGTGGTGCTGCGTCTGCCTTGCAAGTGCAAGGTCCTGAGTTTGATTCCCAGTACAAAAATAAAATCTTTTTTGGGGGGAGGGTTTTTGGAGACAGGTCTCACTATGTAGTTTAGGCTGGCCTGGAACTTGTCTGCTTCAGCCTCCTGAGTGCTGGGACGACAGGCCTGTGCCACCATGCCTAGCTAAATATCTTATAGACAAAAGAAGAGAAATATCAGAGAGGTGGATTTCATGAAAAATTCTAAAAACTGATGTGGCAGAATCTATGAATAGATATGAAAGACTAAAATTATGGGAAGGCTGAATGGTAGAGAAATTGAAAATCATATCTATTTTTCTAGGGAAGCATTTTGCTTGAAGTATTAAGAGAGAGGATATTTAATGAAACTTGAGGTTCAATATGATCAATTACTGAGTATCACATAAATTATTATTTTTATAATTTAATATCCACTCTTCTATTTCTATTTTTAGAATTTTTTTAGAATTTACCTGCTCTTCTACTTCCTGATAGATCTTAGGGCTTAAAAGGCCAATGAGCTGTTCAAGTTCTTGACTAAATTCTGTCCCAATTCCTTGTTTACTTATTAGATTTCTGAGTCCTGAAATAGAATAACAAAATGTATAATGATTAACAATAAAATATGGTTTTCTTATCTAAATCAGTATTACTTTGAATTTCAAGAAGTCTGGTTTAGAAGTGAATTAACACAATACCAATTATATGTTGTTTTTTTTTTAAAGACTTCTAGATTGAAGTCTTTAGCACAGTACTCTGTCCTGGAGGATTCTTATGAGCTTGCATGTAAGATCTGATGTAAATATATACCTAGGCAATCTTTTTAATTAAAAAAAAGAAGGGCAGTAGAATCACTGTGGTTAGTCAAAAAGTAGAGATTTTTTTTCGTTTGAATATAAATATCTTAAACTGAAACATTTTTAAAAAGATAAATCATTACGAACACATACACATACTAAGTATATGCGAACCCTGTAAATGCACTTAAAAGCAAGTAACCATCAGCTATTTTAACTGAGAAAACTTATTATTAAATTTAAAAAATACACTAACATATAGTTTTGGGGCAAATCATTAAGTTTCTGAGCAAATACAAAAGTGCTGTAACACGAGAATACTGCATTTTTATCCCAAAATAACACAGAGTAGTAAAGGCACAAAGTAAGTACTATTTCCAGGACATGTTAGAATGATGTATTATAATATATATATTAGCTATGAATAAGTAAATAAAATGGTCTTTGTTATGGTCTGTGTCTAGATGTCTCCCCAAAGCTTCATGTGGTCATTGGTGGGGCTTTTTCAGAGGATCTAGAGTGTGTGATGCTGGGATTAAGGGTCTGTGATGACTAAATCAGTCCACTGATTGGTTTGGCACTGCCCTAATCCTGGTAGCCTGGATATAATATAAGGGACAGAAAGAGGCTTGTCTTCTCTCTCATTGCTTTTGCTGTCTCCCACCATGAACTGTTCTCTACAATGCTTCTCTGCCATGTGCCACTCTGCCTGGGAGTCAGCCAACTATGGATTAAAACCTCTACAAACTGTGAGCTAGAAAAACCTTTCCCCTTTTAACTTTGGGTGTCAGGTATTTTGTCTCAGCAAGGAGAGAAAGTCTTACAGTATACAATTGGGAAAACTGCTATACGGCCTTTTCTACATCATATTCTCTTTAAGACCTAAGCTCTCAACAGTATTGATAACTTTAAGTATCTTGAAGAACCTGAATAAGTTCTGCTGTAGAGATATGAGTCAAAGAAAGGAAGAAGAATTAAGGTAAAATTCCTTTTTAACAAACTCTCCTAGGCATTTACCTTCAGTTGTAATCGCAGAACTGAAAAATGATAACTGAAAAAAAAATATCTGGAATAATATCAACTAGAGTCCTATTACTGGTACTTTCTCTCCCTTTAATCCTATAATACATAGAATAATTAAAGTGTACACAGTCATCACTGATGCAAACTAAGTTACTAAAGTGCCTTTCAAATCATCAAAAATAATTAAACGGCCATTCTAAATGTTTAGGTATTAAATGTGTCATACAATCTTTTAAAGCTACTATATATAATACATTCCTATATGAAGTATATTTAATAAACTAGAAACCTATTTCCTGACAATTCTTAGTAAAAAATATATTTCAATTAATACAAGGCTCTAATCAGCAAAGAAATAGAATAAAGCCAATATATAATTTTGCTTGAAAGCTGGAAAAAATATACTACTTATTTGATCTTGGGTAAATTACTGCTTTCCCATGCCTCTTATTTCATATCTATAAAATAAAGATAAGAGTATCCCATAGGGTTTTTTATAAAGATTAAATATCTCAATACATGTAAAGTATGGAGAATAGTGTCTTAACACGTAGTAAGTGCTCAATAAATGAAAGCTGTTATATAATAGTAAAGCAATAGATCCATTCATCCTTAAAATTTCTGACTTTTTATGCATATGTGTTTGATTCTGGAGGCAAGGCAAATTTTGTTGGGGTTTTTTTTTTTTTCCATAGTCTTTTGATATTTATTTT